TAACGGTTTATTTACATGGCAGATAGCTTCTCAGCAAGGTGTTTCTGCACCGCGACACATTTATTGCATTTCAAGATACTGCACGAGTAAATGATCAAACGCGTAGTATTATAGTATTTGATAATAATCGGTGTCTCTGAGGTTTCATTAAGAATAAATGGACATCAAGAAGCATCTGAGGATATTTTGTTAAATTTCGATCAAAATCATGTAGCACGTGTGTATCATTGTCTTATGTCGTTCATGGGACGTGATCAAAACTTTGATACTGGTTTACAAACATCGCAGCTGGATTTTACAACGCTGTATCCAATTTATTACTTTTCGCTGGAACATTTAGATTTAACCAGACAGTCAGTAGTTGATATACATTTTCAAGCTCGTGTCAATAGAGATGTTGGAGCTATCCCTAATTACAGAGCAATTGCTGTAATACCCAGTGATAAATCAATGTTACTCAAAGGTGTTGGTGGACAAATAAGTCATTGATGCGCCAGTAGAGAACATGTAACACGTAGTTAGATCAATTATGAATATTATAAATGTCATACAATCACGCTAGTGTTACCCTGACTCCTGGTCAGATAAAAAGATTGCAATCAGCATCAAACAATAACTGTGGAATAAAAATATCGTTGAAAAAAGAACAGATAAGAGGTTCAAATAAATTATCGTTGACAGATCGTCAATTCAAAAACTTTAATGAAGCAAAAAAATCAAATAAAGGCGTCAAACTTAGTCTTTCTGCTGGCGCCATAAAATGGGTGGTATATTTCCCCTTCTCGCAGCTATACCAGCATTAATACCCGCATCAGCCACTGCTGTTGCAAAAGCGGCTGCATTAGGCGCTGTTGGAACTGCTGCTGGAATGGCGTTAAAAAAAGCAACCGGACGTGAAATCATACAAAAAGGAAAAGGTCTCAGATTACCAGGAACCCCGCCTTCATGGTACGGAAAAGGTCTAAAACTTCCAGGGACAGTTTACTGATCTCGCCTATGTCTAATTTTGATTTACTCGATGCTGCTAAAAAACTAAATATAAATAATTTCAGAGGTGTTTTTATGCGCGATCAATTACCAAAACAACCTAACAATAACGAAACTGGTATTATTAATATCGATAAAGACTCTGGACCTGGCACGCATTGGGTAGCGTATGCAATTGATTCACGTGGAATTATCTATTTTGATTCATATGGATTAGCGCCACCAAAAGAATTTCTTCATTATGTCAGTAAAAATACTACTCCAATCTGGTATTCAACGCTACCAATACAAACATTAACTGATCCACCAATATGTGTTCATGAAGTACTTAATGTGCTTGATGCTGCATCCATGGCACCGCAAGGAAAGCCACCTCATAAAGACGTGCATGAATATACCACACTGTCACATTTGAACAGACATCAATTACTATAATGGTAGATATTTATGGAAGATCTGATCGTGGAAAAGCTCATCAGCAAGGGGATTTATCTAAATATGCAACCCTCGATCAACTCAGAAATGAGATTGATGATTTATTAAATATTACAAGTGTGGATCAAAATGAAGTGGTTGTTTTTCAGGACAAACAAGGACGATTAAAGACGAGTTACATACAACTACCAGACGTACTTATACGAATTCCTACTGCAGCTGCTGATAATATTGTAACTTTTAATGATCAGGGTAAAATACAGGATTCAGGTAAGTCAGTTAACGATTATGTCAAGACGACTGGCAGTGTATTTAGTGGAGACGTTATTATGAACAAAAATAAAATTACAGATCTTGGATATCCAACTACAGATAGTGATGCTGCTACAAAAAATACGTCGATGATAAAGAGATTCCAATAACGACTTTGTTAACGACAATCAATGATGGAGTTGCTGAATTTAGAACTGAGTTTTCTAATCACATACAAATGTTTCTAAATTTTCGTAGAAATATAAACAAAACTAATAACGAATTTTTTGGAAGTCCACCAAATGTTGATATAAAACTTACTGATATTAACACAAAACTCAACGATATTATTAGTGCAATTCCGGATATTGTTCAAAAGACGAACCTGATTAAAATTACTCACAAACAGATCAATAACATCGTGTACGTCGTCGGAAAAGACGCAGCTACATGGACACAACGAAATAAAACCATCAAACACACCGCGGAGGTCGCTGGTCTATATAGGTTGTCTGTGTTTAGCGTTGCAGAATTTAACATACTTATCACATCTCCATTAGCTAATAAACTCTCTAGAACCGTATCTGTAATGTTGGATAAAGATTCTGAAGAAACGTTTACGTTGGAATCGTTGGATAGAAGTATGTCCTCCGCTAATTAATGGTGGTGTTTGGAATTTGTAACTAAAGCTCCCATTTTAATTATCTAATTAAATGACAACGTCGTAAGTATAATGAATCCGATGACAGAGTCACTCATTGACGTTCGTCGTCACAGATAAAATCAGACGTGTAAGTGTCAGACTGAACTAAAGAATATCATCGACGAATACACGTTGAAAGTAAAAAATATCGCAGACGCATGGTTGTTATCGATGTAGTAGTTTACTTGGTTTCTGC